TTTATAGTCTATCTCGTGTGAGATTTAATATGAGCCTGTTTCAGAAATGGCATCTTGTCTGTCACCTACAGAGGGTTTTGTAGGGACTGGTATATTGCGATATGTGAATATGAATTGAACCGCATAAATCTTTAATCTTCTTCATCGCTATGCACAGCAACCTGCTGATCTGTGCTTCACTTCCAATTTATCCTTGTTTTTCTGAGTGGTCTTCATGGTTAATTGTCTTATTGTTATGTGAATTGTTGCTAAGAATTCACAATCTGTGGATATAATGCAGAGGTGGATGCAAAGGCATAGACTCATATAATGATTTTGTTACCATACACACTACAGTATTCGTTTGCTGCAGAACCCTTTTTAGGGTTGCCTCAACAAAGGGGTTGAATCCTTGTGCAGTTGAGAATCTTGTAATTTTCTTTAAGTATCTAATTGATGTTCATACTGCCAACATATTTAAAACATAGTTTTATCAGTTTGGAGTAGATTCCAAAGCAGATTTGTGTAGGTTCTAAATATAAACTATCATTTAAAAGGGTCACAATTGCAACCTTTGCATTGTTTTTGGCTATTGCCACTTATGCATGGACATTTTAGTAATTAAATGACTAATTGAGATGATTAAGGTACTTCAGTGGAACGATTATTAAGTGGCTTTAGAAGTGGCTATATTGACCTACAGCATTTGTGGTGGATGACTCAAATACAGATGAACATTCCAGGCTGTGGACAGACAATAGCTTTCTTTCTTTGAATTCAGTTAATCTGAGAACATAATTCTCTGACTAATGCTTTTATGATTTGTATGAAAATAAGAAATCAAACTGAAAAATGTCATTTGAAGATAATGAGTAAAATGATGGTAGTGGTGAAGAAGCCAGGCTGAAAAGATATGAAAAGATTTCTGTGACACAGATCACAACAGACAGTTATATAAGCAATATTTTTGTTTATTTTTAGGTTTTAACATGGACAAAACAGTATAGAGCTGCTGCCCACACTGACATACCAGCCATGGATGCATTGTCCGATTGGCTGATAAACAACCTGCCCTCCAATGACAATGAAGTGACTTTGGTGCATGGGGATTTTCGCCTGGACAATTTGATATTCCATCCCACTGAGGTAGAACCTGAATGCCTTTAATTATTCCTGCCTGCCCTTTAAACACGGGATTGTTAAAGAGATCTTGAATTTGAAAATGATAAAAAATGAAATTCAGGTAACATATTTTAATAAAAGCCCAAATTTCTACAATGGGACCACCACTTAAACGTTACATGAAACTGGCATAATTTCTTCCCAATTGGATCACACCCCTGTATTGAAATACTGTAAATAAACAATCCATCCATTTTCTAACCAGTTTATCCACTACAGCGTCACAGGGGAGCAGAAGCCTATCCCATCAAGCAATGGGTGCAAGACAGGATGCACCCTGGATGGCATGGTTGTCTATCACAAGGCACACACAGATACACACTCAATCCAGTGCCAGTTAACCTACCAGTATGTCTTTGGACTGTAGGAGGAAATGTGGGGAGAACATACAACCTGCACACAGATAGCATCCTAGGAACTGAGCCCAGGGCCTCAGCACTGTGAAGCAACAATGCTAACCACTGCACCACTGTGGCTCCCCTAAATAAATAATACATCCAAGAAATGAATTAGTGGAAACAAACACTTCTCTTCAAGAATAGTCTGATATGCTTATAGTCTGCCAGATGTAATCAGTTCTGAAAACAAAATCAGTGACAAAGTAGTTTTTACTATTATACTGCCTTATAAAGATATCCACACTGTAGATAAAAAAAGAACTTAATGAATATTATGATTCTGTGGTGGCATTATTCCAGGGCACGCAGCTTAACAGTGAGTCAGAAATCCCAACTGTTTTTTCCAGGCCAGAGTTTTGGCTGTGTTAGACTGGGAGCTTTCCACAACTGGGCATCCTGCTGTAGATTTGGCCTATTTCCTAATGCCTTACTCCTGGCCCAGTGAACTCAGGATCATCCACACAACAGGAGACATAAGACAGGTGGAAGGTATGATGAATTGTGTGACAAGTATATCTTTTCAGGATACTATAAAAATGGATGAAATGTGAAAAACTACTCATGGGACGAAAGCAGTTGCATTTTTTGACAACATTTTTCCAAGCACATGACCAAGCTCGAAGGATAATCAACAGACATAAAATACTCACTGCCAAAACATTAGTTCAAACATATTAGTACCCTCTACATTTATTTCTACACTTTAATGAATTGAAAAAATGATTTAACAAGAAACATACGGAGAATTAAAGGAATAATCAGAGAATTGTGAAATAATAATAATAGGTTATCGATCTCAAGAATTCTAGAAATAGCTTTACCGTTTTGACTATGGCAAAAAAGGTTTTTTTTAAATGAAATGTAGTAATATCAAAGTGATTTCTTTCACTTTAAATGTGTCACCTGAAGAAGGCACTACATCAGATATGTGCTTCTTCTTTCTTCTTTCCTGTGTGGAATGAACCTTTACTTGCTCATTTGCAGCTAGTTTGTTGCTGACAGTGCTCCCCACTGTAACTTTAAATTGTATATTACCTGTTTCAAATATTCTGCCTGTACATACAGTAAATTGTACTGTGGCCAAAAAACAAATGCCTAACATTTGAAAACTCTTTGCTGGAATTCCCTCGATTTACAGTATCACTTTGTACAAATAATCTGTCAATCAAAATAATTTGTGATTCATTCAGTCTTATGTTGCATTTCTTAGTTTTTTATGTTGCATTTCTAATCTCTCTTTATCCGCAGGAATTCCCACCCCTGATGAGCTGATCTCTGTGTACTGTCGGTGCCGATGCATTCCTCTCTCACTACCCGAATGGAATTTTTTCCAAGCCCTTTCTTTTTTTAAAATGTCAGGAATAGCTCAGGTAGTGTTTTACTAAATTTAATTAAAAAAGTAATATCTTTGCCATTTTCTTATTTCCTGTGTCATTAGTGAACACACCAGGGCTATGTTTTGAAGGATTTAAACTGTACAGATGCTGAATAATTTATACAAAGATGTTCTTTATCACTAGAAAACTGCTGAGATTTACCAGGATGGTTTATTATTAATATTATTATTATTATCCTATATAACAATATTATTATTATAATATTGCATTTTAATTTATGAATGTTTACCTTAAACCACATGGTAGTTTATCATTCAATTATGACCTATCATGTATGAACTGCCTCTATGTTAAGAATGAGTTATAGTAAGTTATGACTTGAAGAACAATGGATGCATTTTTCCTATGGGAACATTTTGTTATTAACAGAAGAGTTATAAAAACAGGAAATATGTGCCCAAATGTCTTGAAAAATATCTTGCACCCATTTTATTAAATAGAAAAATGCACCCTAAAAAATTATATTTGCTATATTTAAAAAAAAATAGTGAACATGCACTATATGTGTTTATCAGATTTTAATGCTGCTCCAAGCCAGTCAATTTTTTACATCTAAACTTACTTTTATTAAATACATGTTAATTGATGCTGCTATACTGTACGTGATTTTTGGAACAGATAGTTTTGCCTTCTTTTCTAAAGCAAACACAGTTGTTAAATCAATTATTGTGCTTTCATTTCTTTATAAATGTGGATTTTCTGCTTCCCAGTATATTTACACTGTAACGTTAACAACGCAGGTGATGAATAGTTCTAAAATAAGTGCCTGTCTTCATAGAAAGTTTGGTTCCAAAAAAGTGTCTATCATTAGAATACATTCATCATTTTTTATGTAGTCAGAAAATATTTACATCATGCCCTGAATCATGTAGTGAAAGTGTAAAGTAAGAGCAAATTATATTTGCATCTGATTTTTCTTATTCTATCTGAGGTTGAATGTAGTACTGCTTTAATATGCATATACCATACAGAGGCTTATTGTATCCTAGGAAGACCAGGATAGAAGACAAGAAAACATCTTGTTGATGTACTGTAGCACAGATATTTAGTTTTATATTAAATATTTAATTCTGTATATTAAATTGAAGAAAATTCATTTTGATGTGCTTAGTAATTTTAACTTGGAATAATTGTGCTACAAATTTTATTAGAAGAACACTTTTATTTTTAAAGGCACTTTATAACAGTATACCTTTTATACCTTTATACTTTAGAAAACAAGAAAAAATAAAGAAGCAAGGAAGCGACCTCTAAGAGGTCTTTAATTTTACATGAGTGAAGTTGCTTTCTTATTTCTGTGTTTTCTCTTTAAGTTGTAAGAGTATTTAGGGAATTCTTAGGATAACTGCAAACTTGCAGTGCAATATGTAATAGACTCTATTCAGTTTCAAAATAGAATATAGTTAACATGTATGTTTTTATTTTTTTTATTAATTTTTTTATTTTTCACACTTGTCTTCAATTTTCTGTTTCTTTCAGGTTCTGAGGTGTTTTTCTTTGGTGCTATAAGCTTTAACAATTATTGTGTTTAATATTGCTTTCTTGTAGTCTTTTGGCTTTATGTTGTAAAATTAAATAATTGTTAAAACCAAAGCTTTTTTAGGAAGAAGCAAAAGCAGCACAAAACTCACTTGGGTTAAAAAATGTTTTCATATTAAAATATGACAAAATGTCAATTTTTTGCTGGACACACAGTGAGCTTGCTGTACTTTTTATGGGCATTATACAGGCATTCAGACTGCACCTGCTGTAGTAGTAAATGTAGGAAGGTAATAAAGATTGCTTCATGTGTCCCGTAAAGAAAAACCCTGATTTTAACAGAACATTTATTCACCAGTATTATATTTTTAATTTATTCTGTGCCATTCAGTCATGATGCCTTGTCACTTTTTTTAATTCAGAAGCCTTATACATACTAAGTATAGCATAACCTTAAAATCTGAATAAGGCCTCGGTTGTTTGTTGTTTATCTGGTGTTAGTTAATTAATTTTTCATTAATTGGTTTGCATTTTGTTTTTGAACTAAAGGGAATCTATGCACGGCACCTCCTTGGAAATGCCAGTGCCCCTGATGCCTACAAGTTTGGTGAGAGTGTTGCACCTTTGGCAGAAGCTGGACTCCAGATTGCTAAAAGGTAAAGGTAAAGCTAAGCTGTTAATTAGAACTGGTTTTGAGTATTTTTAAGCTGTAGTCAGTTTCCTTCCAAAGGGAGTTTCAGTTGCAATACTAAAATCTAAGACCTTAAGTGCAATCTGTAGCATGATGTCTTGGACCTTATTCAATGTGCTAGCAGCCATATCACCCTGCACAACCCACTGAAGCTCAGCAGGTGTGAGCCTGGTCAGTACCTGGATGGGAGACCTCCATAGAAAGCTAAGGCTGCTGCTGGAAGAGGCGTTAGTGGGACCAGCAGGGAGTGCTCACCCTGCGGTCTGTGTGGGTCCTAATGACCTGGAATAGTGATGGGGACACTATACTGTAAGGCACCGTCCTTTGGATAAGATGTAAAACCCAGGTCCTCACTCTCTGTGGTCATTAAAAATACCAGGTTGTTTCTCAAACAGAATTGGCGTGTTACCCCGGCGTCCCATTTGCCTCTTAATAATAATGGCTTCTTAATAATTCCCATCTGTGAAGTGGCTTCATACTCTGTTCTCTTCCCCAGTGATAGCTGATGTGTAGTGAACGTACTGACACTATTATTATTATTAATGTGAATGTAAAAAATGAGCCTCTTTCTCCTGTTCTTTCCATGATGTTTTCATCTGAAAATGCTAAGACCCGTGAGAAGACGTTTGATATTCTATAATCAGATGGGTGTTAATTTCATAGTTCAAACAACTGTTTAAACCAAAGATCTGGTCTAAAAATGGAAGTAATAGCCAATAATTGAGCACTACTTCATAGAAGGCTTTACTGTATATGTTCCATCTGCGCTACAGTGTATTTTAATGAAAACAGGAGACTTAGAATGGATGCAGTGTCTCATGTGTCAGATCATAACTTTAACTGCATGTTTGAAAAATATTATATTATAAATATACTGTACAAAAGGAATACGATGATATGTGAGCATGACAAAAAATGACATTGGCAAGTCCAAGAGAGATGATGCAATAAACGTCCAAGGGATGTTTCAAGGGAGGATAATATTTATAATAAAAAAGGTTCTTTAAATTATACAATATCAAAATAATAGTAAAGGAAGAAAGGAAATGCATCTGGGATAATAATGATGAAACTGAAACGGTTAATGTGCTAAACAAGAAATGTATTTCACTTACTGTAAGAAGACGATAGAAACATGCCTTAGGCAGCATACCAACAAAATTCTGAATTAAATAGTATTAGCATAGGAGGGGCAGAAATGTTTCAGGTAATTTTATGCAGTCAGTGGTGTGCCTGTGAGTTTTTTTTTTTAATTCTCTATTAAACCATTAAACCGTACTATCCAAGACTCAGCCTCAATCGTTTTAGGGATGTTCACAGTGTACCCAGTTAACCACTTATAAGCTAAACCTCATTTCCTTACAGCCTTTTTTTCTAAAATGTATAAACAGTAATTTTAGACTTTGGTTTTGGAGATTTATAGTATACATCAATAGACACATATTCTGGTCATAATTATCCAGTGGTGGCTGTTCCCTTAATTATATCCTGGTGTTTCAAAAAATATGTCAACAAATGCATCCTCCTTAGATGGTATATTTGCAAACTGTTTTTGCAACAAAGTTTAAAATTTAAATCACCTTTGCTACATCTCCTTTTGAAGTCATTAAAGAATTGAGTGCATGCTCTCATGTCCATGTTACGTGGTCTATCACATACTGTATACTGAATCTACAGTATGTTAAGTACTTGGAATTTCCATTTTTCAGTTTAACATGTTAACACCTATAAATCCTTAACTTTTATGTACTTTATTTTAATTCCTCCCATTTCCTTATTGCACGTCTGAGTTATTCTTATGTTATAAATATATTTTAGTACAGCAACCTTGAGTTTCTTGTATTTTATTCTTAATTAACTAGCAGCAATATCACCCTGCAACTCACAGCCCACTGAAGCTCAGCAGGTGTGAGCCTGGTCACTACCTGGATGGGAGACCTCCTGGGAAAAACTAAGGTTGATCCTGGAAGTGGTGTTAGTGGGGCCAGTAGGGGGTGCTCACCTTGTGGTCTATGTGGGTCCTAATGCCCCAGTATAGTGATGGGGACACTGTACTGTAAATAAAAGGCGCTGTCCTTTAGATGAGACTGAGGTCCTGAGTCTCTGGTCATTAAAAATCCCAGGGTGTTTCTCGAAAAGAGTAGAGGTATTACCCTGGTGTCCTGGCTAAATTTTCCATTGGCCTTTACCAGCCATGGCCTCATGGGCTAATAAACCCCTGAACTGGCTTCATCACTCTGTTCTACTCCCCTGATAGCTGATGTGTGGCGCACTAGGCCTGCTATCGCATCATCATCATCATCCAGATGGGGGCTGGTGGTGGTTTAGGAGAGTCTCCTTACCATATAAGTGTAAGGAATTATAATAATAATAATAATAATTCTTCAAGCATTGAGGTACAGTATAAGCAGTTGCAAATGGATGTGTCTGTTGTGTGAAGTTTGGTCTTAGTGGTGTGTAGGGCTTATCTGATTTCATTAGAATTGGCCTGAATGGGAGCTTCTTGCACTCCAATTACATGGGTTATGGCTACTAAACACACTTGCTTCCCCATCATTGCTGATGATGCTCTAGTTCATTAGTTCCTCCGTCTGACTTTGACCCATTTGTTCCAGAAGGATTGTCAAACGCTTACTGTAAACAACCTACTCCATACTGATCTTTTAACCATATATTCAGCCTCCATGTTTCATGTTCCTTTCCTTGGCTGGGATGGTGTACCAGCAGTATTCCTGTGTAGACCACTTTAGACGTTTACAAGCTGAATCCTTAAATTTGATTGGCAGAGTTGGTTGCCTTCCTTTCCCTTTATCATTTGCTCCTCTGTGGACTATGACAAGTGGATCTGCATTTGGCCAGGAGCCGATCAACTCACTCACAGAGGTCTGCTAACTGCTGAGCAGACAGGCAGATTATGAGAAAGTGTTTGGAGAACACATTAAATGTGCTCTTTAAAAACCCTGAGAAGGAATACATAAATGACTTACTTTAAATTTACTACTTAGATCAGTGTTGTCATGTAAACCAAAAACAAAAACATTACAATTATATAACACACTCATATAACATTATATAACACACACATTGTGTTTTGTGATTTATAAAAAGTTATGCCTTTGTGTCCTTTTAGGCTGTTTTTCATACAGGGCCGCTATTGGTATCAATTATATTATTCAGTAACATTGTAAAATATTTTCTCTTTTAGAGGAACAATCCCATCCAAGCCACTTTCCAATGATAAAGAGCTATTCCGGCAATCCCAGAGAGGGAGGGTGGTTCTCAGCCAAGTGAAGGAGTTCATGCAGCAACACGTGTTCCCTGCTGAGGAGGTCAGAACAGTAGATCACTTTTAATGCTAGGATTGTATTTTGTCCCATGTTAAAAAAATAACATATAATTGTGCAATATTTTGATTTAACCTGCTATGTGTTATGGTTTCAAAACTTTGGGTATTCTATTTCAAGTTGTTTTGACACAGTCACTTTTTAAGGAATTCCAAGAAACATGAAATGAAATCTGAAATGAAAGAAATGTCTTCCAGAAACAACAAAGTGGTCTGATATTTTTACAATCATTCATTATCTTGGGTTTTAGGAAACATTTGTCCTTGGTAACTACCAGTCTTAAGAGAGTTAAAAACATTATAGACTTTTTATAGACTTTTCTGATTATATCAGTTCATTAATGGCTAGTAAAATGGGTCATGTGGGATACAGTGGATATAAAAAGTCTATACAACCTTATTGAAAATGCAGGTATTTGTGATGTAAAGCCAGAAATCAAGATAAATCATTCCGGACATTTTTCCATCTTTAATGTGACCTTGCAACCAACAAAATTCAAGAAAAAACAAATAGATAATTATTAAGAAAAAATATTTAAATTAAAAAACCTACAACACCCTGGTTGCATAAGTGTGCACATCCTTTTATAATGGGGGCTGGAGCTGTGTTCAGAGATAACCAATCACATTCAGAATCATGTCCAAAGGTAAGTAGCATACACCTGCCATCAATGAAAGTGATTCTGATTAACCGCAAATAAAAATCAGCTGTTTCTGTAGGATTTCCTGACTGATATAATCAGAAATGTCTATAAAATCCATTAAGTGTTTAACTCTCGTAAGACTGGTAGTTACCAAGGACAAATTTTTGGTTGCCATTTTCCAGATAAGACATTTTCGGACTTTTTCAAGGCATTTCTGCAAAGAGTTCAAAGACGTGCAGCCAGATACATTTTTGGGCTCAAAATGGTAGCCTTAAAGAACTAAACCTTCCTAGTTTTGAATAGGACCCGATTCAGCCATTCAGTATCCTTAAAGACTTTGAAGTCAATCTAATAGAGCTCATCAAAATCAGCAGTGAATCAGGGAAGGGCACAAGTGGAGACTGTCAGGAAGTGTTTTAAAAATGGGAAAAAAGGAGGAACAAGGTACACAAAAGGTATTGTTATTCTGGAACAAAGTATCTAACCATGTTGTCAAAGCTGAAACTTTGTCAAACCCTGGATTCTTTCAAGAAATGACAAAATGAGATCCTAGGATCTCTTAGTTACTAGCAATCACACAGACTAAATGTTCAAAAAAACTCTTTACATTATTATATATATTATAGGAGCAACTTTGCCCTCCTTCCAAGCTCCAAGACTTTCATCTATTGAAATCTGTCAGATCTGAATGAACTCCCACTTTCCCACTTTCCCATTTGTCTGGCAAATTAACACTCTGTCACTCCATTGCTTCTATGTTAACATATTTGTCCACCAGAGACACCACCCGATCCAAGTCCTTCAGACTTCTCCGACAGATCCATCATCTCAGAGATGAAGGAAGACTCCATAGGCAGTGATCTAACATGGCACTACCTTACCTGGGTGGATGTGGTTGACCTACAGGGTGCTAAGTCAGGTTAAGCTAGGTCAAGCCAAGTGTGAAACTGTGTACTTTTCTAGCCAAGGTTATTCCAAGATCGGTGGCTTTCAGTTTTTTGTTGTTACTGCTTTGAGAGGGTTTCAGGTTATCATAATAAACCTTCTGGACTTGTCCACTTAGAAGTGTGGCTAGCAGTCAATCTACCTTCTCTGTTGTCCACTCAGATGTCATCAAGAAAACATCTTTGTCCTCTGTCCAAGGCATACCCTGTAAATAGTGTTGCTTGATGGCAATTTTGCCATGAGAAACTGAATTTTCATCTGCTGCCATTGGACACTGCAGCCCTCAGAGCAGCACTGGTGCTTCCTGGACAGCAGGTTTTGCTTAGGCGGTGCAGCAGCCAAGGCCTTGTTTTCTTGATCAGCACATAGTCCACTTGCTTGCACACAGACTTTAAAACATCTGCCTGCATTCACGATAGCATTATTGGTGAATTGATAATCCTTTAAAAAAATAGAAAATCCACATGAATAATCATAGGAGTGGTCTAAAAATACATTTACACTAAAACATATTTAGAAAAACATTTAAACATCATTTAAGTCAGTTTACAACATAAGAAAATGTATAATAAGATAGGAAACCATTATTATTAATTCATTTATTTGTCTGATGCAAAGTGACTTACAGGGCACAGTACAGTCATTTGTATTTGTGAATACAGAAGAACAAAATAGTACCTGGAAAAAAAAAAATCTCCAAATTGACATCCATTTGTGCAAGCATATCACATGCTGAAGAAAAAAAAAGTCAGAAGTCAAAATAGTCCGAACAATCCATGAACAGACAAGTGCTCAAAATGTCTGCAGCAAAGGCTTGGCAAAACATCTCAAATTACGCCAAAGGGAGTTTGGTGAGCTCAGTGTGTCATAGGCTTCATGCAATTATTGTCTCAAAGGAATTTGAAACCAGATAACTGATTATTGCATCCTGAACTGTGGAGCAGCTTTCCTTTCTAGTCCTGAATTCCAGCTACTACTCTGCACTGCTTCTGACCTTTCGTCTGTTTTTATCAACGATTAATTTGCTGGAAAAATCAAGATTCTTTTCATGAAAGAACCACAGAGAAGCTCCACCTGGGGTTTGTTTATCAATATACAGTAAATGTTTTTTATTACCTTTGTAATACCCACAGATGTGGAGTATTCAATTATACAAACTATTATACCAAATACAAGGCAGCTTAAAGGTAGTCCACAGTGTTTTTTATCATTCTGAGAAAAGACACATTTTAGAGATAATGATCAGGCGATTGGATGTGTTGAAGATCTTGCATCAGACCACCCACAAAAATCTGACAGGCCTGAGTAGAACTTTGTGGTATTTATATTTCTTAGATGTGCTCATGTACTTTTAATGTAAACTTTCATTACTTCTCCTGATAAAGAATTATATGATGTTTCCTTCCTTTATCTTCTAATAGGAAATTATAAAATTTGCTTTTTATATTTGTATTGTACTAGACGTTCCATATAGTAGGTATCAGAGTAGTGAAAAATATTTTTATTTCAAATATGTGAAATTCAGGGGAATTGGGGAGCTGAATATGCTATATATATAGGTAGATTTGAAACTAGACATTTGACAGACATTGGAACTGTAATTAAAGTGCATGGAATTGAAATATGAATTAAAGGATGTAAAGCAGATAGAGAGTTGAATTGTAAATTGTCAGTTTAATTGAAAATTGACCCCTGCTATGATTAGGACTTTTTCCTCTAGAATGTGCAGGTATAGAGAGGAATTCATGGTGGACTCGATTGGGAATGATTGGGAGTTGTCCAAGACCTACGGCTGCAAAGCAGGCCAAAATCATCACCCTTCTACCTCCATGCTTGACGGCTGGTATGAGGTTCTTGTGGTGATATGCAGTATTTGGTTTTCACCAAACATGCAATATGGCCAAACAACTCTACTTTGGTCTCATCTGTCCAGAGGACTTTGTTCCAGATGTCTTGTGGGTCATGCAGGCACTGATTTGCAAACCTAAACCTAACCCCATCTCTCCAAAATATGTTATTTTCGGAGATGTTACTTGCACGCTTGGGGTTGACTGGGAGATGGTCAGATATATCTTGACGTCTAAAACCACGTAATCATTGTACATGTTAAATTTAACATATAAATACCGATATCGTCATTTTCCCCTAATGAATAAAGAGTGTTGAAAAGAGAGTGTTTGTGAGAGATACTGGCGATCTTCTGTTTCAGGAGGTTTCAGAGTATTACAAGAAAAATGCAAACTTGCCTCTGAGATGGAGCAGACCTCCAGTGATTGAAAAATTAAAGGTGAGTGATGTTGTGACAAGGCCTTGACATTGACAATTAAACATTTTTCAATGCCATGTAGGGGTATAAATTCTAGGCAGATCCCAGAAACACCAAGAGTTAAAGGGAAAAATTATATTTTTATTTAAAGTAAACCTGGTCCTGTGACAAGCAGGAGGCACTGAAAATTCCACACCCTGGAAAATAACCCACCTAGCCAGAGTGTCACTCTTCTTAGCTGGGCTGAAAAATATCCCAACAGCAACACTTCCCTTTTTTTAGTTGTCTAGGTGCTAGGGAGGGGTAATATTCAGTAACAGGGCTGTTCTTCATCAGTGCTAGTGAAACATCACCGTAAAGGTGATGTGCTTTAATCAGATCTGGGAAAAAATAATTTTCAGTAACAGGGCTGTACAGTACTTCATCAGTGCTAGTCAGTGCTGCTTCTTTTTACCTGTATAGGCCACATCCCTATGAGGCTTCACAACACTTAGAAAGTCTTTAATTATCATCTTTCTGTTGCCCTGTGTTGAAAAAGAACCTGTTGTAGCTTGTCTCCTATGAGTCATATTCGAAGGAATGCTGGCAAGATGGGCTGCTGAAAAGCGGAATGTATTGGAATTCTGATACAATCCATGAGAAAATGAAGTGGATCAGTTTTGACATCACCAGTGATGATTATCCATCCTGGTGTCTTTGACTGTAATTCCAAAAGGGAGATGCATCTAAGCTCAGGACTCTGGCTGGAGGTCACTGTCAATAAGAGATTCACAATCTACCAATGAAGAACCTGTTGTGTATGGCTGAACAGTACTTCTGATGACATCATGGCAAATCAGGTCTTGTGATTTTCTGACTTGCAAGGTTACACAGCAGTAGCGAAATGTATCTTGACCACTACAATTCCTGACAACCTGACAAGCTATAGTACCTAATCACGTGTGTGGAACCACTACTGTGTGAACTGCCAAAAGCTAATTGCAGAGGAACTTAGCTAAAGTTAACAGCCGGACTGAGAACTACGGTACATGTAAAACAGAACTGAGCCAAATCTTTCTGCAACAAGAGAGGACAAGTGAGAAGCTCCACAGTTGTAATTTCTCCTTCTCAATGAGATAAAACAATTTGAGATTTTGTCAAAACCTCTGAACATCGACAGATATTCAGTATAGCACCTACCAAGCAGATTTTCTGAGTTTCTCCCCAGTCTTGATTTAAGTCTCTTGTCTTGTTCTCACCTAATATTTAAAGTTTTACAGAATAGTAAAAAGCAAATTATGAATGTGGTTACGAAGATATTTTGATACGAGCTTGTGCTCTTAACACCAGACATGAAATAAACTCACAATGCTATATTGAAAATTTGATATAAAAATGTTTTGCTTTGAACTAAAACAAAATAACTAATTTCAGATTAATTGGTTCTCATTGCTGTATAAGTCATCTTAAAAGATATTAATGAGTATTAAATAATATTAATTACACAAATATTTATGTAACAAGTGCAAAGCAAAACTACACACATTAGATCATATTTGAAATTAAAGTGTGGATACAATAATGTTTTCACCTGTTATTAAGTAATGTTTCATTGTTTTTTTCAGGTAGTAGCGTATTTCATGTTTGTGAAATATTTGTTAGGTACTCAAGAAAAAAGATAATTAAGAAACCTAATTGTAGAAAATTATAAAAATTAGAATTATCCAAAATCATGAAAGCTCACTATCACAGTAAATCAGAAATAGAAGTTACAGGTGGTCTTTATCATGAGCTCCATTAGCATGAACCAAGATGATCCTGGGGGAGATGAATTGCCTTTTATTAAAAACATCAGTGGCATCTCTGGAAAACTTTGTAATGTTTGCATCACAATTAATTTGAACTGCTGAAGTTAAGATAAGTGGTTTGATAACCCTGATTTATTTTTCAGGAGAAGGCCAGAGTTCGTGGATTATGGAATCTGTTTCTACCTGCCGTCAGTGGACTAAGCCAGCTAGACTATGCTTTCATTGCAGAGGAGATGGGAAAGTGTTTCTTTGCTTCAGAGATCTTCAACTGTCAAGCACCAGGTGAATCTATTTTTTCTTGTTTAATAACACATTGATCTCAGTCAGGCTGGAAAGTTGTTACTATGGGATTTTTGTTTCGCTTTATCTTAAAGCTGTATAAGAGATATATCTGGTGTTGTTTTATTTTGTTGTTCTTACTGATGTACTGTATGACAGCAGTTTTCACATTCTTTGCAGCCTCGGCTGTCATCGTGAGATAAAGTGTATAGTTCTGTGAGGATGTCTTATGTGATCTAGAGAGGAGGTATGGTTTTATATCTTCATAAATCAAAAAGGTTTAAAAGTGTGGAAAGGTAACGCAGTGTTGTGTGCTCTCTGAAGGCACCAGTTCTGTAGGATTTGGGCATTTACTGGGACAATTATTAATTGTAGCAGTAAATCACAAAATGATTCTTTTAATGGCTTTAGAATCCAACCTTGCGATATAACTCAAACAACACGCACACACACAGGTACTTATACACGAGGATACATTTATTAATACATAGAATATGCATGTAAACCTAACAGATCTTATCGAGAGGGTTATCAGAATACAAAAGGTATATATTCAGTCAGTTACGAAGAGTTACATATATCAAGAGGACATACGTTCAGTATATCATTCATTTAGACCGTTTCGTAATTGAACTTGGTTACAACTTCTACATTAGATACTCAAAACAAGTACATAACTCTTAGGAATTAAATTGATATCAACTGGTTGGGATAACAATTGAATTCTCGAGCTGTAATGCATTGAAGTTGAATACTCATCCAATCTCTGGGGATTCAGATCTCCTGCAGACTCAAAGAAGCAGTTGCAGGCTTGTTGCTGTCCAATCCACGCTGTCTGGCTAGGTGCCAGGCTGTGCTGTGCGGTTTGCGACGGTGCGCTGCAGATGCTCACTGACCGGCTAGTTAGTGTTGGCTTTAACTAGCAAAGTTTGTGCACAGGAGAAAAGATGACTGTGGGTCCCAGCAGGTCAGGAAGAGGACCGGTTCGTTCCTGATGAAGCGCTAATTCTGAATACTGATTCAGCTGTCCACAGTTCCGACCTGTTCACGAGGCTTGCTGCTGGTGCTAACCTCGGGAGGATCCTCTGGTTACTCTCTGGCAACCTCTGCTCTCGACTCTTAGAACAAAGGAAAGTTCTGTCACTCGGACACACTGGCCGTTCCGTGGTTGTCCGGGCTGAGTCTCAGGATGGTCAGGAGGCGCGCAACGAGAATGTCCTGCCCTTGGGAGCCTTCTGCTCCTGGGCCGTCCTGCCCTGGAATTCTCCTTTGAATTCCCTTTAGAATTGTCCGAAAAAGTCTCTCAGGCCTGTTTTTACCTGTGTTGCCTGTTTTTACCTGGAGGAACTTCAGCTCGTTCATTGGCTGAAAGTTTCATGGGCATCAGAGTCCCACGTGGGTTACTCGGCCCTACCAGTCCCTGATTGGTTGATCAAGGTGAGATATGAGTCACTTACTCCTGACACTTAGGAATGGAGTTCAGATGTCCATCTGGCATTCCCTAGACAGATAGGTGCCAATGGATGACCATTGATCATGATAGCCAGGCTTAGCTAAGTGCATCCCCATTTGGGAGCTGTCCCTTATCAGAGGAAACCTTAAATCAGCCTGCATGAATAGTTTCTCTGTGGCTGCACCACAGAGATGAACAGAGAGATGAGGCCTCATTTGGGAAAGCACAGAAACACTTAATTCTGTCTTATTAACAAGCATTGCCGCTACAACAGTAAAAATAAGATCTAAAATGCTGTGATTGCTGGTATATTTGTGAAAATACTTAAACTGACTTTGAGAAGTAGCCATAATTCTGTAATACATATGACATTTTAATATTTTAATTCTGATATCATGTTACAGTAAATTAAATAAGGAAATTATAGGTCGTGGTGCTCAGTAACCTTTAAGTAGGTTGACACACCACTTCCAAATGAATGTAATTTCCTTTTACAGACAGTGGACACCATTTCTGTAGTTTTATCAGCACATGATTGCTCAACTAAGCAAGTGAACCAACTGGCAGTTCCAAAGTATGGGAAATAAAACATAAATGTTTCCAATTTCATTTTTGGAAAATAAAAAAGAAAGGAAGGCAATGGAAAATCAAGTTATAGCTCGTATTCTGATACAGGCTAGTAGCTTGAGCTGCTGAGAATAGCACTGAATTTGTTCTTCTGTTTTCTGTCCATTGTGTGATCCAGACACAGGGAATATGGAACTACTACACATGTACGGCACTGAAGAGCAAAAGACCCAATGGCTGGAGCCTCTTCTAAAAGGAGAGATTACCTCCTGCTTCTGTATGACTGGTAAGAGCTCTTCTCTTTCACACTTTAATGAAAGATGCCAACTCTGTGTCTTGAAACCACATAGCCACAATACTGCAGGTTTTAAGGATGATCCTTTAATCATCAGTTTCTGAAGAAATCATGGAAGAACTTTGTTTAAAGCCCTTAGGTAGATGCTAGTGGTCATCTGCTTCAGATCTGCCCTTCAGCCAAAGATCTGCCCTTTGGGTGACTTCTAGGTGGCAATGGCAGCTCTTCACACCCCTTGGCAGGTTTGTGTCAGGGTGGCAAACCTTCATGCTTCCCTTCTTCTTCCCTTGACCTGCGATCCTCATATTGGACCATCGTAGTGGCCAAGGTGGCAGAAGCAATAAGCAGGAACTCACTGGCTCCAGCCAGGTTGACATTTATTGCCCTTCACACTCAAATTGGCCGCCAGTTATCAGTGTTCACACCTCCACTGGGGGCCAAGACTATTTTTACCGTTCTGGAACACCAAACCACTTACAACATGGGTTGGTGAACTTTGATTACATGCAACCATTTAATTCAACTGAACACAATATAATATAATCCAATAATAGGGTGGCACTGTGGCTAAGGATCAGCGCCTGTGGCTGGAAGGTTGCCGGTTCAAATCTCACGGTCGGCAGAGGAATCCTACTCTGTTAGGCCCCTGATTTAGGCCCTTAACCCCAGTTGCTCCAGGGGTGCTGTATAAAGGGCTGACCCTGCGCTCTGACCCCAAGCTTCTCTCTCCCCGTCTGTGTGTCTCATGGAGAGCTAGCTGGGGTATGCGAAAAGACACATTACTAATGCAAGAAATTGTATATGGCTAATAAAGTGATCTTATCTTATCTGATGCTGGTGACCACTGACCTCTGGTGGTAGCCCCTTGTTACTGCATCTTTTGCAGTTGTTTTTGCAGTGACCACAGTCATCGATATTGAAATCATAATTCCCACATTGTATCTTAAGAAATAAGGAAGCATTACCTGTTCTTTTGTTTTAAACAAATACGGCCAGTGTAGTCCTTTAATGTATAGCTGTATTTGTTTGAAGTAAGCAAGTAACCTTATTTTTTCATTACCATTGCTAAGCTTTGTGAAAAGTGCTGAATGCTAAACTTTGTGATTGCCTATTGTCTAAAATGTAATTGTTTATTTTCTTTAAGAATGTATTTTTATTATTGTGGGAAAACCCAGGGTTGTCCATACTGTATGAAATCTTCACACGAAGTTTACATACTTTTCCAAAAGAAAAACCATGTTACAAAACAATGCAAGAAGCACTTAAAGTGCCCACAGGGAATGTTTAAATCAGCACGCCCAATGATTCACAGTATGTGACCATTTAGAATTTCCTTGTGTTGTTTTCTTTTGACGAAGAAATCAGATCTCAACTATGTGATGCATGCTTTTCAGCAAGGTCCTCACAGTTCTACAGAGTAGTTTAAAACTGGTCATAAAAGATACCGACATAAGATGGCTTCTTCTGTATCTATTTTTATAGTGCTGTTCTTCCTTACAAGGAACTCCTGCATAAAACAAAATGCAAAACTCACATTGTATTATAAATAAAGTAGCAAAAAGCTGATGTTCTAGTCAAAGACCTCCATCAGATGACAGAATTGTTTTGACTACCTTTACCCACAAATCCTAATTGCTAATCAGTGTCTCCAAGACCATGTGAAGTGATAATATATTTCAAATAAGTTCATCCACGAATCCGCATGCAACATACAAATATTCATGTTAACTATAGGAGATTATTTTTTTCCAAACTGCAGATAATTTCAAATATTCCTAACAGTTTAAAAGACAGTACTAGTCACTAGTCATGTTTTTCAAACAAGCTGATGATTTTTTTTTTTATCTGCATAATGCTAATTGTACCCTTGGCCTTTAATGTGACTCATATTGCCGCTTATTTTTTTCACATTAGCTTCATCTGTATTCTATGCTCTTCTACAGTTCTACATGTTTTAGAGATTTTCTTTTTAGATCTTATAAGAATAAATCAACAGCAATGCCCCCTTTTCACAAATGTTCTACAGTACCTCCCATACTTCTTCAAATTCATGTTTTGTCATCAGAATTTTCAATTGTGTTCCTGTTCTAGAGCCAGATGTGGCTTCCAGTGATGCCACGAACATGGAATGTAGCCTGGAGAAAGATGGAGACACCTATATGATTCATGGCAAGAAATGGTGGATCAGTGGTAAGTCACATAATTATTGAAAAGTTTTTGAAATGTTATATTGAAAAATTGAAATAATATCAGTAATAGTGGTATTTGTAGTAATGTCATTTACAAAAAATCAACATTTGGAAAGATAAAGAAAACCAAGGAAAATATACGCTATACCCTAAAATACAAAATATAATATACAAAAATATACCCTTATAGTAAGGGGTAATTAAGGCCACTTTACAACAGATGTTATTTTGAAGGTAAAACAAAGTATAAAAATGGAAAGAGAAAAATGACGTAAACAAATGGAGACTAAACTTAGCTGATGTGTGCATGAAATATATTTGTATAGCTTGATGAACATAATTGAGGTTTTGGTCAGAAACCTAGATTAGTCTTTTGTGAACATGGGCTTGCCCGATTAGTTGGACTTGATGGTGATTCTCTAACGAATGATGAGACAGATTCAAATGAAACCCTTTGTTTTAATGAGATTTCTGCTGATGTTTATTTGGTTCTTTTTATTTGCCCTTTTTAAGTTCTTTTTACATAAATGTAATTTCATGATATCCCTTCAAAATACCCATCTGCTGCACAGGTTTAAAAAGACTCAAAGGACTCAAAGGCAGTCATAAAAGTATTGAAAAATGTGTTTGAAACATTCTGCTCTGCTGTTTTTTTTTTATACTGTGCAATTCTACTTAAGAAACAAAGAAAGGAGGGCATTCGGCCATCCAGCTCATTTGGTAGTTAGTAGCTAATTGATCTATTTCAGAAACATGGCTGGGTAGCTTGTTCTTTACTCTCACAAACCCTTAGAGGTGCAATAATATTAATTATTAAACATTTTTGAATGAAGCATAGTCACATGTAACATTACAATAGTGTATTTAACCAATCAAAAAGTTATTGTTTATGTGTTTATTTTGATACTGGCAATAAAAGTAGTTTCAGTCTGCATTGTGTTTCATGTAATATTTAAGGAAAGGTATAGTATGTGTGAAATAAATCAAAATTCTAAAATATCACATACAGTATTTAGTATTTTACATAACTGTATATTCTTAATCAATATGGAGGAAAATGACATGTATCCTTATGTACTCATTTATCATTGAAATCTACTTTACTTTACATGTCTAGTTGCTCTTTGAATTAGTCATCAAAAACAAATAAACAATTCCTTTTTTATTTTGCCTGTGGAAAGTTCTTGTAAGAAACTCTTGTCTGTTGAGGAACTGCTGTGGATTAAGTCTGGGATATGATGAAGGAATAACTTGTGTAAATTACGTGATTTACAATTTGTAATTCGCTTGTACATGTTCATGTCCTGATTTTATGTTGAGAATTATGTAGCAGTATTGCTGCAAACTTGGCAGCGTTCTGGGCCTTAAACAGTTGATAGCAGTAGTATATTGTATTTCTAAATACACTCTCTTATGAAAGAACTTACCAACCCTGTTTCTGAAGCAGGCACGGCCTTCAGAATTTTACCTTGGTGGATAAAGTATCTTTTAAAATGGTAATCAATTACAGTTACTTGCTGAATTTTAAGGGAGTAATTTAAAAAAATGACAAGAAGATGTGAGAGAATAATTTGAAAACATCATTGGTTACAGTGATCTACATAGTGTGTGCACAGTCAACATCTAATCTCTCAAAAGCAATGTCCCATAACATCTTACTAATTTAAAAGGTAATGTTTACAATATAACCTATTACAGTGCCGGAGTTTTTAAAGTATCTATTTTCAACATTGGTCATGGATCAATCTACATTTTGTTTTAAACTAAGACCTGTGGAATTTACAAGACAGATCTCCAACTGGATTATTATGAAAAACCGTACCTGATACAGTGAAGAAGACACTGTGTGAACATGAAACAGATCTAGTTCTCATCCAGCTGGAATGATATCACAGCTTCAGCTGCATGGAGCCTACAGTATGTGAACAAGCCTGTTGAATTAAAACCCAGCTGTTTTGTAAGAAACAACTTGTAAAAACAGGGAGAAAAAGCCTTTACTGACTGGACAAAGGTGCCAAGCATGTGAGTATTACATTTCCAACCAGCTCAGTGGAACAGGAATAACTGGTGAGAAATTCTCTGAGGTGATGCCTGTTTTTTAATTTTTTGTCATGCAAATAACAGGTTGTGTGTTCATATTTCTTTCATAAAGAGAGGACCAGAAATTACAGGCCATGTTTAATTTGGGGATAGTCCCAACTCTGAAGGAAAATGGTATATTTGTGTTTTTTTTATTTATTTATTATAGTCCACCGTGTAATTTGCAGCTAAATTATACTGTATTTATAGAATAGGTTAATGTGCAATTTGCAGACAATATGCTGCACTTCTGTCCATATAATTCAGCAACATCTTATAGCATCAGAGCTGTGGAACACCCCATGTCAAGAATATCATCATGTTGGCTCCTGTTTGTGATGAGTTGACAAGTTCAGCAACAGCTTTGCCCTGAAATAGTTACAGCTTTAAAAGAAAAAAACGTTTTACCTTGAACACTGTTTTTTAATGATTCCCACTATAAAGCTGGCCCGTGAACAACATTTTTCATGGATGGTGATTTAGGAATTACAGTATGAGTTCTTGACCTTGCAAGTTACATTTTTCTATCTGCATCTTTATTTACAGTGTAGGCTATATAGATAAAGTAACTATTGTGACATTCTGTAATGTAAAAATAAATATTGGCTTCTAGTTTGTATCAGTGAATTTAGATTAAAATGGTGCTTTTTATTTCAGCGAGAAACTACAGAGCACAAGATTTTATCTTTATATAAGTGGAAAGAAATGGTGTTGGTTTAGCATGAGACATCTACCAAATGGACAGCGGGGAATACAGGGCAGAAAAAAAAACTTAAATTATGTAAATGTAATTAAAGGTTGTACCATCTTACCAATCTTAATGATTGCTTTAGCTACTGCCATTAAGGTATTAAGGCTAACTGCAGTTAAGGTGTTGAACTGCAATGCTATTTTTATATTTCGGGGTTAGAAAGATTCAGCATTGATGAGTGCATTTAAAACCACAATGAAAGTAAAATATATACATGTTAACCTCCAATTCATATCACAAAAAAGACTGAATTTCCAAGTACATTATGAGCGGTGCCATATTTTGTGATTCAGAACATGACAACCAAATGTCTGCAAAGGTGAAGTGGCCCTATTACGTTGTAAACAAGCAGGCTTGTGAATCCATCTCTTTTAATCCAATAGAAATATTGCTCTCAACTCTGAGACCGTATTGCCAACAAATACAACTTGTTATCTGTGCACGCAGATCACACTGGAACATTTCTGCTGTGAAATCTCTGCTTCACAACCTGTACGTATTCTCTCGTACTGTTCATCACATTACATTAGTCATGTTGTGTCCAACAAAAGGAGACTCGATCCGGGTGTGTATGAAGCAGGAATTTCCTTTATTACGTATGCATACGGGAGAATAAATGTTTGATCCCTCAGTCATTACAGTACAGTAACTAGTGAGCAGGAATGGCCGTACCGTGTCACACTTTGCACAAACTCTTGTTCTCGCCCCTCTTGCGACAACATGGCGACCATACAGTACTTTCTCAGAGGTCACAATTTTGTGTTTAATTCGGAATTTGTAAACGTTTTGCGATGCGCTCAATTTATTTTGTTACTGAGATTTAATATCTCATCTGAGAAATTGGGTGCTGCCATTTCCCTTAAATAAAATGTTTCGTACTCCTACAACTCTTTATTAAAAGAAGTACTCTTCTTACTTTTAAATGCACTTTCACATCATTTACATCTGTGTCCTCTGATTTATGTTTCACAATTAATTCTTAAAACAGATGTTATCTAGTTTTTGGAGTTTCTTCGGGATGCTCCACATGGTCGAAGAAGCTGCTGATCCTTGGTTTATAGACAATTATTTTTTAAAAAGGTAGTAAATCTATACGCAATGAAGTTTTTTTGATTATGTGGTGACAAAAACAGGACAGCTGTGACAGTAATGAGCCTTGTGATTTAGTATTTCCTTTTCCCTGTAAACCGTTTATGGTTTTGATTAAAAATCTGTTGTATTAATGAAGCTTCATCCAGGTTAATTTTATTGTTTGTCTTTAAAAGCACTTTCAACACTGAGAATGAGAAAAGTTGCCTTATTTACAGTAAGTTAAATACTTCCTATGTTTTGTTATTTATTCAAACAGCTACTCTGAATTGTATTCCAATTCAGTGGACTTTTCTGTGACATTTTGTGAATTTTCATCTTAACTCTCAGAATAATTGTTTTGGTTGACTGAAGGGAAAAGAAGGATTTCCCCTTGAACTTTATTTTTTCTTTTCACCATTGGTGTTCATCTGCTTAGGAGCAATCTAAATAACAGTGTTGCACAAAACCTTTTCATTGTCAGATGCAATCGGATTTGTGATTAAAATTACTGCAGTAGTTAGGTCTCTGCTTTTGTTTTCACAGCTGTGTGCTCAGTTTGGTTAAGTATCAATTTTGCACATTTTTGTAATATTTTGTAAATGCACACATATACTTTATGCCACTCTTTCATTATCTAATATGGTCTGTAAAGCACCTTGTACATTTCTGTGATTTCAGTGTGTAGGATTTTCTTTTGTGCCAGACATGCTGTATAAACCCTGTTGTATTCACAAAAGAACCTCACAACTAGGCTGAGGAATGCATATCGTTGTCTTACATATGTAAATTTGTATAAAGGTTTCAAACATTAGCTTTAAATACTGGTCCACAAATGTGTGCTTCTCCACATGTAAGGGTAATTAAAGTAGATGTTTTAGAGTACACAGGTATAACGTTCTTGTGAACAATGGCATGCAGATCAGATAGGAAGAGAAAATTACTTGGTCCGTCTGATCTCCTGGAAGCCTTTCTGTTACATAATAAACTGCTTTTTCAAAACTTTCACTGAAGTAAGAGAGATGAAGCAACTTCTGTATCTTATTTTTCATTGCCTTTTAAGTGCAGATTTTTCTTTGATAATTTAATTAATAATTCACTTC